AAACCTGTAACCGTCGTCACTTTCGGGCCCCTGAGGCTTGCACATGGGAGACGTATAAGGCGGGAGCCTCGTCTGTGAGTGAATTGCGAGGAAGTCTCAGGCGGGAGCCCCCTCCCTATGGGGCCCGCAGCTCAGATAAGTAAGCCGAGCGGGTCATCGGCCTCCTGCAACTGTCATCATTGTTGTGCCCCTGAGGCTTGAATATGGAGGAAGTATCAATCGGGAGCCTCGTCTGTGAGTGAATTGCGAGGGAGTCTCGGGCGGGAGCCCCCTCCCTATGGGGCCCGCAGCTCATGTGTGTAATCTGAGCGGGTCATCGGCCTCCTGCAACTGTCGTCACTTTTGGGCCCTTCAGGCCTGCATATGGAGGAAGTATCAGGCGGGAGCTTTGTCTGCGAGTGACCTGCGAGGGCGTCTGAAGCGGGAACCCCCTCTCTAGGGGGCCCGCAGTTCATGTCAGTAACTCGAGCGGATCATCGGCCTCGTGCAATTGTTGTGACTTTTGGGCCTCGTTTGTGAGTGAATTTCGAGGAAGTCTCGGGCCGGAGCCCCCTCCCTATGGGGCCCGCAGTTCATGTTTGAATCCGAGGCGGGCCATCGGAAACTTGTAATTGTCGTCGCTTCTGGGTTCCAGAAGCTTGACTCTGGAAGATGTATCATGTGAGAGCCTCGTCTGTGAGTGAATTGCGAGGGCGCCTCAGGCGGGAACCCCCTCCCTATGGGGCCCGCAGCTCACTTTCGAATCCGAGGCGGGTCATCGGAAACCTGTAACCGTCGTCACTTTCGGGCCCCTGAGGCTTGCACATGGGAGACGTATAAGGCGGGAGCCTCGTCTGTGAGTGAATTGCGAGGAAGTCTCAGGCGGGAGCCCCCCCCCTATGGGGCCCGCAGCTCAGATAAGTAAGCCGAGCGGGTCATCGGAAACGCGTAGCTGTCATTCATTTTGGGCTCCTGAGACATGGGCCTTGGGGAAGTATGAGGCGGGAGCCTCGTTTGCGAGTGAGTTGCGGGTAACCTCGTCCGAGCTGGTCGTCGGCAACTTTGTTCTTGTCATGGGCCCGCGTGCCCGAATCATGCCGTGGCGACACTGGGGCGGTTTGGGGGCTTCATGGGAGGTTTCTTGGGGGCCTCCTGGAAGGTTTTGCGAGGCCTCGGGGCTTCGTGGTGTTATTTTGGGCTTTGTTGGGGGCTGTTCGGGGATTATTGGGCTCTGTTGGGGGCTGCCCAGGGGGCTAATGGGGGCGTCTAGGTTGAGGATCCAAAGCAGGGGTCCCGCGAGAGCCGCTGGCATCGACATCTGCGCGTGCCTTGGGCCGTGATGGATTGCGGGTGTCGCATCAAGCGAGGCGAGAGCCTTTTGGCCTCGTCAGGTATGCGAGCCTCTGGCCGCGTACGACTTCTGTATGATACAGCCAGCGTTGGCGAGAGCCTCTGGCCTCGTCATTTGTGCGAGCCTCTGGCCGCTCAGTTGGTTATCCTTCATTCGACGGCGAGGGCCCCTGGCCTCGTCAACTGCTCGTTTTGACAATATTTGCGTACGACGAGAGCCTCTGGCATCGTCAGATGCGCGAGCCTCTGGTCGCGTAGCTTTTTCCACGCGGAAGTACGCGGTTTTCCGTCGCTCCCCTACCTAGCGGGCCGTTGACCGCATGCGAGGGGGTGGGGCCCGCGTCCTTGAAACCATTCACAGTTTCCCCAATTCGGTTGTGCGCCTGGTATCCGAGATATTGCGATCTTGGCAACTCGGTATTTTCACTTGGGTTTCTTTCGTCGTGGTTTCTTCGCAAGTTCATCCGGATGGAGTAGCGCTGGGAACATGTAATATCGCTCGGTTTGCCTCTGTTTTCGTGCTGTCCCCGCCTGAGCGCGGCGGCGCCACGCTTGAAGCCCGCGGGCTTGTCCCAACGGCTTGGTCTCGCGCGCCGGTGGTTTGCCGGGTAGTCCCGACGGCCTGGCCCGCGGGGTTGTTCCAAAGGTTGTGGCGCAATGGGGCAATTACAGATTGCGCCGGCGCTGGCCGATGCAGCGACGGCGCCGAGGCGCGCTCATGCCGTAGAAGAGGGAGGAGGTGATGAGGGGGTGAAGTGCTATTTCCAGATTGGCCGAGAGGATTCTCATGCGGGGTCCTACCGTCGGAGTAATTTTCTTCGCAACCAGTAGCCGTGATGGACACGCGATTCGATCCCAGAGATCCCAGAGATCCAACGGGGCTCTTCCGCCTAGGCCCAAACGGTGCAAGGAGTCAGCTGTGAAGGCTCGTCGCGAGCGAGTGTCTCGAGCAATCTCGCGGCTCGTTCCCAAAAATTTGCGTAGTTGAATACCCGTATCACAGTCAGCATGGCGATGGCGGCAGCCCTGGGAATCCACCTACCCTCCTTCCCCTTCCATTCCATCCTCCTGCTGCTCCTGCTGGGTCATATGCGCCGACCTAGCGTCATCCTCGCCAAACTTCACGAGTCCTGCTGATCCGTTCCTCCTGTCCATCCCCATTCTGGAAGTCCCCAAGGACCTCCGGATGAACCGCAAAAGTCAACCGTCAAAACATGGATCTCCTCCGCGCCTCAGTGGTTCACCCGCGCTGGCCGAAGGACATCTTGGACAGCCTCACGAATTCCGTGGCGGAGGGATTCCGGCTCGAAGGCGCGCCAGATCGTGTGTTGTATCTCGGCGTCCTTCGCAGATTTTGCGGCAAGAGTACGAGGATGAAACGCGGGACAAGGAGAGGGAGGAGTGGGAGGAGGAGGAGGAGGAGGAGAAGGAGGAGGAGATTCTTGATTCTGCCTTGATGGTCTCACACAGAAGGGGGAGTATTGCGAAGGCCTGACGGCCGGTGCCGCCGACCCTGTTCGCAATGCGCAGCAAGAGGCACGGGCTGTGGGATGGTTTGGGGGAACGGGGAGAAGGACGAGAAGGTGGGGGAGTGAGGTGTCGTATCTGACCCGGGACTTCCCCGGGACTCCCCCGGGACCCCCCCCGGGACCTCCTCTCCCCCCCCCGTCGGGGAAGGGAAAGGGAAGGGGCTTCCCTTCGACTCAATGACGACGTTGCTCAAGGTCGGTACGGGGGGGGGGCGTCGTATCTGACTCGGGGGGGGGGTCGCTACCCCCCCCCGCTACCCCCCCCCCCTCCCGGCGGGGGAGGAATGAAAGGGAAGGGGCTTCCCTTCGACTCAATTACGAGGTTGCTCAAGGTCGGCTTGGCTGGAGCCCAGGGGAAGAGGAGTCCCAGGGGGGGGCGTCGTATCTGACCCGGGGGGGGGGTCGCTACCCCCCCCCCCCGCCCGGCGGGGGAGGGATCAAAGGGAAGGGGCTTCCCTTCGACTCAATTACGAGGTTGCTCAAGGTCGGCTTGGCTGGAGCCCAGGGGAAGAGGAGTCCCAGGGGGGGGCGTCGTATCTGACCCGGGGGGGGGGTCGCTACCCCCCCCCCCTCCCGGCGGGGGAGGGATCAAAGGGAAGGGGCTTCCCTTCGACTCAATTACGAGGTTGCTCAAGGTCGGCTTGGCTGGAGCCCAGGGGAAGAGGAGTCCCAGGGGGGGCCGTCGTATCTGACCTGGGGGGGGGGTCGCTACCCCCCCCCCCCTCCCGGCGGGGGAGGGATCAAAGGGAAGGGGCTTCCCTTCGACTCAATTACGAGGTTGCTCAAGGTCGGCTTGGCTGGAGCCCAGGGGAAGAGGAGTCCCAGGGGGGGGCGTCGTATCTGACCCGGGGGGGGGGTCGCTACCCCCCCCCCCCTCCCGGCGGGGGAGGGATCAAAGGGAAGGGGCTTCCCTTCGACTCAATTACGAGGTTGCTCAAGGTCGGCTTGGCTGGAGCCCAGGGGAAGAGGAGTCCCAGGGGGGGGCGTCGTATCTGACCCGGGGGGGGGGTCGCTACCCCCCCCCCTCCCGGCGGGGGAGGGATCAAAGGGAAGGGGCTTCCCTTCGACTCAATTACGAGGTTGCTCAAGGTCGGCTTGGCTGGAGCCCAGGGGAAGAGGAGTCCCAGGGGGGGGCGTCGTATCTGACCCGGGGGGGGGGGTCGCTACCCCCCCCCCCCTCCCGGCGGGGGAGGGATCAAAGGGAAGGGGCTTCCCTTCGACTCAATTACGAGGTTGCTCAAGGTCGGCTTGGCTGGAGCCCAGGGGAAGAGGTCTCCCAGGGAAAGGGAAGGACAGAGACGACGAGTACAAAGAATGACGGAGATGACGGCTCGAACGGAACAGCCCCTCACACACGCCGACAGGGTCGGCGGATTTTGAAGAGGGTTTTCACGAGCAGGGCTCCTCATCCGTATCCATATTGACTCGAGCATTTTTGGTTCGCCCGAGGTTGTGTTCAACCAGGCCTGGCGTTTGGTGCCATGGTAATTCTCCACGGGGCATCCCCAATGTGAGGCTCGAGATTTCTGGGTTCCGCGAGCACTCCCGAACGAGGTACGGAGCCGAGCGGAAGAGGTCCCATATTAATGTGCACCTTCGACTTGCCGCAGCCGGTGCGTCTTCGCACGAACTTTGTCGCAGTCCGTGCTCAGATCGTGTCGCGGACTCGAAGCAAACAAATTGCATCCTCCTCGTCGTCCTCCTCCTCCTCCTCCTCCACCCTCTCCTGCTTCTCCTCCATCTCTTCCTCCTTTCTCGGCAAAGACGAAACTGCATAAACATATACTTTCGGAGCTCCGTGTGGATTTCTTGGATGGGCGCTGGGCCCCCCAGGCGGTGCCGCCAGCGCCGCTCGTGGCGCGCTCCACTCGCCAAGGAGGGAGTCCAGCGCAGATCCAAGGAATCCGAGCGGAGCTCCGGACGCTTACGTTTGTGTTGTTTTTTCCTTTACATAGCCGGTCACGCTGCAGATGTGGTGTATGCGGAATTTGGGGGGCCCGGTCGCTTACATTTTTTTGAAGGAGGATAATCGAACATCCGATAAGACAATTGCGTGACGGTTCCGTAGCCATTTTGGCTCAAGTTTTTTGGTTCAATTCGCATTGTGCACCACAGGATTGCCCATTCAGCGTCCGTTGCGTCATGCAGACGCTCAGGAGTGTCGCGAGCACTGGTGGCCGGGATGCCTCGAAGGCGCGGCAGATAGAGCTGGTGGATCCGGCGAGGTCCGACAAAAGAGCGAACGAGACCTCGAATACTGAAGCTTGGCGCAAGGACTGCAACGCGCCCATCAAGGCCTACATCTACACGCTCGCGTCGAATTCGGTGCAGACCGCTACTTCTGTGATCGTAGCGCGGTGAAGTGCTGAGTGCCTGATGGCGTGTCGAGTGCCGCGATGGCAGGAGCAGTGTGAGACTGTATAACTGTATGCGAATGGTACGTTTACGGCTTGTCTGTCCAAGTTCGGCTGGGTCGTCCTGGTCCGTTCCACCGGCGTGGTGCCGCTCCCCGCTACAGGATCACATCCAGCATCGAGGGCACATGCGCCATGCGGACCGCTGTAGGGGAATTGTTTTCAAGCATGGTCCGTTCTGCTGCGATCATGATGCCTGAGCTCCGATGCCACCAGAAGATGCGAGACGTTCGCCGCGGCGATCATGATCGCAGCAGTAAAGGCAGAGGAGCACCCGCGCCCCGCCCGTTCCTTGACGGCCCCGCCGGGCAAGCTCGAGCCCCCCCCAGAACCAGGGCCTTTACGAGTCTCCCCTCGCGGACTGTCGGCGCGTGCCCGCACGGCTGGAGGCCTGGACCGCGCTGCCCTCGCGAGGGAGGCCTGATTTATGAGCGGCGGGGGGCCCGTGCGGCTGGAGCCCCCGAGGGACCCCCGCGGGCGGCTGGGGGCCCAGCCCGCCCCGCGCGCGCTCCCGGAAGGCTGGGAGCGCCCGATGCATCTTCGGCTCCCGCTGGAGCGGCCGCAGGCCAAACCAATCCAGGCGTCCCGGCACGCAGGGGGCACAGCGCGGCGCTGCCCACAGTCCATGCGCATGGTGGGGATGAGCAACATCCCAAGGGTACTCGCACCGCGGATCCTTACCATTCGCATTGGCTGCACGCTGGTATGATGATGTCTCGGGGGAGGACGCGGGGGGGGGGCAGAGGAGGATCGGACGTGGCGGTGGGTTGGGAATGGTTCGCTGTTGATCCGTCTTGACGCGACGGGTGCTAAGACAGTTACTTGCCTTAGAGGCGTTTTTTCGAGTCAGTTCGAAACGTATTACTTTCAGGCGCCAGACATTGCCCGAGCGTTTGCAGAACGGCGTCTGGACGGCGCATTGACCTGGAGATCCGACGTAGTTTTTAAAATGACCACAGAATTTTGTGTTGACTCTGAAGCCGTGAACATCTCACTCTCTCTCTCTCTCTCGCTCTTTGCGCGGATGCTGCTGACCACCGCTCTGGTCAGCGGTCTGACAGCCAGTGGCGACAGAAGCGCGGTGAGACTCGAAGAGTCGCGCGACGGACGCTTCTGACTGGGGGGAGTGTATGGAGGTGGGGAGGGGACTGGCTTGCTGTCGCTCCTTCTCCACTTACGTGGCGCATGCCAAGCGCTCGTGTTGCCATACAGGCTCCTTTTCGAAGCGGCGATCCCAAATTGCAGCCGCGATCTCCACCGTGGCTGGTTTAAGCACCATGCGCCCGAACCATGCGAAAAAAAAGACAATTGCGTGACGATCGGATCCATTTCCGTCCAGGATCTCACCTACCAAGTGATACGTATCGAGCGTGAGGCAAGTTTGGTTGAATGGGTGCCGTAGTCCATGATCCTCACTAGGTAGAAGCGGCTTGGCAGTGGAGATGCCGCGTGCCGTTTGTTCGAATTCGTGGGTAAGCACAACTTTTTCCGTTCGCAGCATGAGTATTGTTTATGTCGTGTCAGCCTACGTTCTCGGTGTGGGTGACGAACATTTTGATAATGTCGTGTTTACGGATGTTGGAATAATTGTTCGTATTGACATTGGATTTATCTTCGGCACCAGGTTTTTTTTTGATGCGCACAGTGCGTGTTTGCTGTGAGTTTCCATTCGTCCAATTATATGCATGGCATGTGGGACAGCGTGCGGTGCGTTTGCGAGCATAGCAGGGTTCGTTGTTCTGCGGCGGAATTGTTCGATCTTCGCAGTCCAGGAAGGTGGAAATACCTCGAAATCTCAAGCAGTAAAAGCACTGTCCGAACTTCCGCCGATGAGCCATTTCCAGGGCCCAGGCTGCAACGAGATGTCGCACCACTCAGGTGTCCAAACATAAGAAAACAGAGGTATACTTCGGTATCGGACACAGCTTGAGCCACAATGGTTACTGATTTGGCAGAGGCCTCCTCCTCCTCCTCCTCCTCCTCCTCCTCCTCCTCCTCCTCCTCCTCCTCCTCCTCCCCCTCCTCCTCCAGCCGTCTCCTTCCCCGTGGAGGTGGGGCCGGGGGCGGTGCTGGCGCACACCTTTCGGGTCATCCCCCCGAGCGTCTGCGTGGCGTGCCACGAGGGCAGATCTGGCACTGGCCAGGGTGGTGGTGGTGATGGGCTCCCCGATCCGTGTATAGGCCTGCTCTTCCTTCTCCCCCGACAGGAGGAGACGTCTGGAAGGGCCTCCACACATGACAGCTTTCCGGAGCCCGTCGAGCCTTCCGATGAAGAGCCTCCGAAGACCTCATGACCACTCTTAGAATCCCCCGTTGCCTTCCGAGGGGCATTATGCCCTTCCCCCTTCTCAACCCGTGCCTGACCAACCTCCAGCCAGCCCAATCACCAGTTCGAAGAAGAGACGGAATGGGGTGCGTTCTGGCGCGGATGAGGAGGATCAGGAGGAGGAGGAGGAGGAAATGAGGGAGGAGGGGAGACGAGAGTCAGAACGGCGAGGTTGCGGTGATTGAGGGGGGGCAGCCGTGGGAAGACGAGGATCAGCAGCAGGAGGTCAAAGACGATGACGATAACGACGACCGTGGTTGCGGTGGTGATGATGGCGATGATGATGATGCCAATGACGACGAAGAAGACGACGACGACAATGACGATACCGGTGGTCACGGATGAACCCTACTCGAGTACAACCCGTAGAATCAATGTTTGTGCGTTCCAGCCCAGGCTTTTGCAGGGGATTGTGATTTATCTCGACGTCGGATCTCGGGGGGCGCACTGTCGAATGGCCTTCGGCCCATCTCGCTAAAGCCTATTGGATGTTAGTTGGGATTTCGTTGGATGTCTCTCGGAGGCATCTTGGAGGCAGTTCTAAGGCCTCTTGGGGGCCGTTTTGGGGCCTCTTTTGGGATTCTGCTTGGGGGGCCCTGGAAGGCTCCCAGGAGTGAGGACTGAGGCCCAGGGGATTGGGCAAAGGACCTGAGGACACGCCCACTCCGTGCCCAGCGCCACGGTGGCGCACTGCGGATCCTCAATGGCGCCGCGAGTCCAATGGAGAGTGGGGAGGGAGGGGGGTGGGCGGAGGAGGAGGAAGAGGAGGAGGAGGAGGAGGAGGAGGAGGCGGAGGCGGAGGAGGCGGAGGCGGAGGCGGAGGAGGAGGCGGAGGCGGAGGCGGAGGAGGAGGCGGAGGCGGAGGAGGAGGAGGAGGAGGAGGAGGAGGAGGAGGAGGAGGAGGAGAGGAGGAGGAGGGAGGAGGAGGGAGGGAGGGAAAGGATCGTAACTCTGATTTTTGAGCCCTCTCCCTTCGCCTCCTCCACCCCTCCCTCCCCGTTCGCTCGAGGCTCTGCTGGCACGCCGCCCGACACTCCTCTCCGCTTGGCGTGCCCTCCGCGCCCCCTCTTCGCCCTCCGCTTCCCCCCCCCGTCCAGCTGGTGCTGGGCCGCAGCGGACAGACTCACACGGTCCCCATCCCGATCCCCATCCTCCTCGGCCTCCTCCTTTTCCTCCTCCTCCTCCTTTTCCTGCTCCTCTTCACTCTTCCCTCCCTGATCCGGTTCATGCTGAGCCCTGAAGGCCATTTGGTGCAGGCCCCTGGGGGTCGTCAGGAGCCGTTGCCGTCACGGCAGGCAGTTCGCCTTGCATCCAGCACGCGCACGATTGTGCTAGCGGAAGTTCGAAAGAAGATAAGGATGCGGAGGGGGGAGCGGGGCCTTTGACCATTACGGGACAATACATGTCCAGGCCCAGAGTTGTTTTGTCTGTGTTGCTGGCTGTCTGAAGGATCAGGAAGAAGGGGGTATTATTTGCCCTCTGTCGTGCTGTGCCCCGTGCGACTCAGGCTTCGATGCCCCCCCGCCCGCGTTCAATTCCATGAACCCCTTGAGCGACGTGAAGGACATCGCCGCTGGCAAGAAGCTGGAGAAGAAGGCGGCTCGTCCATGCGGCACGGCCGTCAGCCCAGGACTCCGGCGCCCTGAAAGCACGAGTTGGGGCCGTTTGGGCGTCTGGATGCCTGTCAAGGGCCCGAGGACAGTCAAAAGACGGCCCGTGATGGGGACGCAGAGCCGCTGATGGGGCCGCGCGTCCCAGGGCACACATCGTGACATAGTCAGGGCGTCGGAGGTCTCGGCCCATGCTGCGTTCGTCCGCGCCTTGCTCTCTGCCTCGCTCGCCACATCTGGGCGTGGTCGGGGTCGAACCGTCGGCCAGGCCTGCCTGTGTCTTGAAGAGGTGCGGTCTTGGCCGGGAAGATGTGCTACCCTCGATGCCTGCTGGCGCGAGGCGTGCGCAGGAGCTTGCTCTTGCTCGCCAGGAAGAGGATGGACAGGAGGAGGGAGAGGAGCAGGAGGCGCAGGAGGAGGAGGAGGACGAGGTTGTGGTCGAAAAAGCAAGGACGGCGTAGGCATAAACTTCTGGAGTTCCACGCGGATCTCTTGGATCGGCGCTGGAGCCTCCTCGCTGGCGCGCGGAGCGCGCCAGGGGCAGCGGCGCCGCTGGGGAGCCCAGCGCCGATCCAAGAAATCCGCACGGAGCTTCGTAAGTTTATGTGTATTCCGCTTCCTGCTCCTCTACGAGGATGGGGAGGAGGAGGAGGAAGAGCAGGAGGAGGAGGATTTCCCATGCCATGCCTACGAAAAGGTTGAGAAGGAGGAGAAGGAGTGAGCAGGAGGAGAGACGAGGACGTGAAACTCTGCCGCACCGATGCGCCCGCCCGAAGGCGCGGCGCTTCATGTTCCAGCGCATGCCCGCCACCGAGGCCGGCACGAGGAGGATCGAACGACATGGGGAGGAAGGGCGGGAAGAGCATGAGGTATTGCAGCGGAGGAGCTTGAGATCTGGGCGCTGCATCTGTGTCGGGCACCAGGACCACATATCGATGCGGCTCGACAACTGCAGTAGACAAGTGCAACAGAAACATGAATGTTCTATTTTTCGCAACGACGGATCTAAGGGGAGGAGGAGCCTGAGGAGAAGGAGGAGAAGGAGGAGGAGAAGGACTCGAAGAAGGAACAACAAACAACTGCTAAACTTACACTGTCGCAGCTCCGCGCGGATTGTTTGGATCGGCGCTGGGCGCTGGGGTCCCCTGACGGCGCCTCCGGCACCGCCCTTGGCTTCATCCAAGAAATCCACGCGGATTCCCGAGCGTTTATCTCTATGCAGTTGCTCTTCATCTAGAGGTGGAGGCGGAGGATGAGGAAAGGGATGAGGAGTTCGTGGCAGAGAGGGGATACGGAGACTCAGAGCCGATACCGCCAACCTTTCCCTCGTCTTCACCACGGCTGGCTTCGCCTCGACTGGTCAGAACGCGCTTCGGGAGGGTTCTGGGAGTAGCGGTGTCAATATTTCCTTTGGTTTCCCCAAGGAGACCACCGCCACCGAGACCCATCGGGGGGGGGGATCGACCCCTGCGTCTCGCAGTGTGGCACGGCGCTCGGGCGTGGCCGCCGCCAGGGCGGCGGTCTCCGAGGAGGGCGAGCTGCGACAGCGGTGGTTGTCCTTCGGGGGAGCCCCTCGTCTCCACGACTGGGCGCAGCTCGGAAAATTGGTAGGTTTGGACCCGGGGAGGTGCCCGGGGACGGATCTTGCTTGAGCTGCCGTTCTCTCAGCGGATCTTCGACTTCTCGTGCAAACGTGTTGTGCTTCATTTGAACTCGGCGCAACCACACATATAGCGGCCTTCTTAGAAGGCATGCGAGCGATCAGCGCGCTTGCCCCCTTGCAGGGACGCCGGCTTCCCGACGGTAGCTTCTCTCTTCTCGCTCTGTCTCTCTCTCTCGTTTTCGCTCTCTCTCTCTCTCTTTCTCTCTCTCCCTGTCTCTTCGTCACGTCGCCGCTCTCCGCGGTGGCGGCTCCGCCGCGAGCGTGCAAGATCGAGCGCCTTTCGGGAGCCCGTACCAGGCCCCACAAGCCACAGAAAAACGGCCTGTGTCGCGAAATCCGCGAGAAAGATGGGGTCGAGAATCGATAACTACCAGCTCATTTGAGGGGCCACGCTGCCCAGCCTTCGTTTTCCCATCCTCTTCTTCCTCCTTCCCTTTCTCCTCGTTTCGCCAGCTGTGTGTTTATATGAATGGCTGGCCGAGCAATCGGTTTTGCCCGCTCAACATGGCGGTCCTTTCCCCCTTGTCCTCCCTCTCCTATTCTTGTCGTCACTGCATTTTCGATTAGTTATTCAGGCCACGGTTCATGTCATGAGTTTGCAGGTCGGCTTGTGCGATGTTCCCGGTTTGCCTAGTGATCTTTTGATTTGCGGAGTTGTCGTGGCACCAGTGGTTTTTGTGCGAGGGGAAAAATGTCAGCCCCTCATTGGGGGGCCGCCAGGGGGTAGCACATGTGCCCGTTAGTTAGCGCCCAGATGGTGGGGATGTTTTTGGCGGCTTGCCTGTTTGGTTGATTTGGCGTCTCCTGCTTCTGTGCCCCATGTCCATTATGTTGTAGCAGGCGTGGCATGTGAGCACCCCGAGAATGAGCCGCCAAGGGGTAATAATTTCATTTTC